ACGGGTTCAAGCGATTCTCCTGCCTCAGCCTCCTGAGTAGCTGGGACTGTAGGGGCCCACCACCACACCTGGCAAATTTTTGTATTTTTAGTAGAGACGGAGTTTCACCATGTTGGTCAGCCTGGTTTCGAACTCCTGACCGTCCTGCCTCGGCCTCCCAAAGTGCTGGGGGATTACAGGTATGAGCCACCGCGCTCGGCCCCCATGTTATCCAATTCTGTGAGGGCTGTATGCCTTCCATTGTCTTTGAACTCTTTTATAACTCCGTAAGTTGTAGAGAACTATGAGCAGTGCAAATTGTTTTGTCCAGAGAGATGTAAATCGTGTAAAGTGGAATGCAATTGATTATTTTCCCATAGATATTGACTCATTTTTCATCAATTTATATTTCATTTTGTTAGAGTAGGTAGTTAGGCAGACATGAGCAGGGAAGGAGAGCCCCCCTACCCCACCAGGAATGTAATGCAACCATCAGGTGATGGTCAGGTGGTTGTTAAACTGTCTCTTTAAAATAATAGGCTGGGTGTGGTGGCTCACGCCTGTAATCCCAGCACTTTGGGAGGCTGAGGTGGGCGGATCACTTGACATCAGGAGTTCGAGACCAGCCTGGCCAACATGGTGAAACCCCCTCTCTATTAAAAATACAAAAATTAGCTGGGCATGGTGGTGGGTGCCTGTGATCCCAGTTATTCAGGAGGCTGAGGCAGAAGAATTGCTTGAACCCAGGAGGGGGAGGTTGCAGTGAGCTGAGATGGTGCCACTGCACTCTAGCTTGGGCAAAAGAGGGAGGCTCCATCTCAAAAAAAAAAAAAAAAAAAAGATTATTTCAGTATTCCTTTGATTGACTACAATGTTCATTTGAATCACTGGTTTCCTCCTTAATTCAAGGGTTGAATAAAATCTTTGATACATGTTCATTTTATATTTATTTGCAAGAAAGTCAAGTTTTTAATTTTTTTAAAAATCATACTTTAGCAGGTACTGGACCCTATAGATTGTACAAAAGAGATAGAATCTTTACTTTTAAGATGTCTAACAGGTGAGCTAAGACATATGACTAGATGAAACCATTTAGTTCGACGAAGTACATTTGTTTTTTGGGGTGTTTTTTTGAGACAAAGTCTCTGTTGCCCAGGCTGGAGTGCAGTGGCAGAATCTCGGCTCACTGTAACTTCCCCCTATTGGGTTCAAGCGATTCTCCTGCCTCAGCCTCCTGAGTAGCTGGGATTACAGGCACCCACCACCACGCCCGGCTAATTTTTGTATTTTTAATAGAGACGGAGTTTCGCCATGTTGGCCAGGCTGGTCTTGAGCTCCTGACCTCAGGTGATCCACCTGCATCGGCCTCCCAAAGTGCTGAGATTACAGGCATGAGCCATTGCGCCTGGCCCAATGAAGTACATTTGTCACAAATTTCTAGAGCTTGCCAAAGCTCCATAAAACAGCATTTTGGTGGTGGGCGCCTGTAATCCCAGCTACTCGGGAGACTGAGGCAGGAGAATGGTGTGAACACGGGAGGCGGAGCTTGCAGTGAGCAGAGATTGCGCCAATGCACTCCAGCCTGGGCTACAGAGCGAGACTCCGTCTCAAAAAACAAAAAACATAGCATTTATGGGCCGGGTGCGGTGGCTCACGCCTGTAATCCCAGTACTTTGAGAGGCCAAGGTGGGAGAATCACCTGAAGTCGGGAGTTCAAGACCAGCCTGACCAACATGGAGAAACCCTGTCTCTATTAAAAATACAAAATTAGCAGATGTGGTAGTGCATGCCAGCAATTCCAGCTACTCGGGAGGCTGAGGCAGGAGAATCTATTGCAGTGAGCCAAGATCACTCCATTGCACTCCAGTCTGGACAACAAGGGCGAAACTCCTTCTCAAAAACAAAATCAACAACAGGCCAGGCGCGGTGGCTCATACCTGTAATCCCAGCACTTTGGGAGGCTGAGGCAGGCGGATCACGAGGTCAAGAGATCAAGACTATCCTGGCTAACACAGTGAAACCCCTTCTCTACTAAAAATACAAAAAAATTAGCTGGGCGTGGTGGTGGGTGCCTGAAGTCCCAGCTACTTGGGAGGCTGAGGCAGGAGAATGGCATGAACTGGGAGGCAGAGCTTGCAGTGAGCCGAGATCGCACCACTGCACTCCAGCCTGGGCGACAGAGCGAGACTCCATCTCCAAACAAACAAAACAACAACAACAGCAACAACAACAAAAATGTAGCATTTTTGTATTATAATCTTCAACAGAGACAGATGGTGAAAAACAAAATGGTCGGAACAAAAACCATCTTAGATAGATGGGGGAACTGATTATTTAATATTTATTCAATAATAATACATAATAAGTACTACTGTGATTCATAGCAAACACCAGATTAAGAGCTCATCTGATCTTTAGGGAGCAGCTTTTCCCTCTCTAGGCTGCCCTAGAGTTACTGCAAATCTTTGCTTTGTGGCTTGGGGTTGATCAGTCAGTCACAAATATGACACATCTACCATGTCCCAGGAACTGGGAATACACCGGTGAGGAAGCAAACCCTTAGGATTACTATCTAGAGGGGATGACACCTGTTATACAAATCATTACCAATAAAATGAAAGTAAGTTCCTTGAGGGCATGAACTAGTCTTTTTGTTTTGTTCACTGCTTTATCCCAAGAACCTAGAACAGCTAACATGTAGTAGTTTTTCTCTGTAAAAATTTATTAAATCTGTAATTCTTTATTTTTTTAAATTTTGTATTTTTTATTTTTTTAAGACAGAGTTTTGCTCTGTTGCCCAGGCTGGAGTGCAGTGCCACGATCTTGGCTCACTGCAACCTCCGCCTCCCGGGTTCAAGCAATTCTCCTGCCTCAGCCTACTGAGTAGTTGGGATTACAGGCGCCTGCCACCACGTCCGGCTAATTTTTGTAGTTTTAGTAGAGATGGTGTTCCACCATGTTGGCCAGGCTGGTCTCAAACTCCTGGCCTCAGGTGATCCGCCCACCTTGGCCTCCCAAAGTACTAGGATTACAGGTGTGAGCCACTGTGCCGGGCCAAAATCTGTAATTCTTAATTAAACACATAAAGTGCTGAGAAAGAATATAGCATATAATATACTGAGTAACCTAGACTGTAAGGGTTAGGGAAAGGTTCCCCGAAAAAGTGATGTTTAAACTGAAACCTGAAAAACAAATGGAGTTAACTTGGCAAAAATACTTGATACTTACCTTGCACTTACTACATTTTAATTGGAATTGATGATTTCATTATCTAGGTGTATGCTTTGAAAGGTCAGGGAGCAAGTCAACGTGTCAATAGAATTCCTCAATCCCTAGTACCTAGCACACAGTAGGGACTTCCCAATAAATTGAATACTTTTTTTATAAGGAAATTCAAACACACAGCATCTGCCAGTAATAATTATAGCCTTGCGGTGGCTCACACCTATAGTCCCAACACTTTGGGTGGCCAAGGTGGGAGAATTGCTTGAGCCTAGGAGTTTGAGACCAGCTTGGGCAACATGGCAAAACCCCGTCTCTACACACACACACACACACACACACACACACACACACACACACACAAAGAATAAAAAAAAAATTACCTATCATAAATCTTGGCAATTCTGAGCTCTCCTCTTCCCTTTCGCAAGCTTATTCTTGTTGTTGAAGCATGAGCCAGAATGTGTCCCCCAATGGGTTTTTTGGGATCTGCCTGAAAGCTGAATTAATAAAATACCTTTTCAGGTTTCATCATATGGACTATATATGGCAATATCTGCCATTACAAGGCAACCTTTCTGTGGTGGATGTCAGGAGTTGGAGTAAGTGTATATTCTAAACAAGCAGAGGCTTGTTCATAAACTAAGGAGTGGGGTGAGTTTTGGAGCTGCTATATACCTCATCTAGTCTAGGTTTCTGAGATTTCTATGATAGTTTATATTTTGTTTGACTTTTTCCTTTTTTTTTGAGATGGAGTCTAGCTCTGTTGCCCAGGCTGGAGTGCAGTGGTGTGCTCTCGCTCACTGCAACCTCTGCCTCCTGGGTTCAAGAAATTCTCCTGCCTCAGCCTCCCAGGTAGCTGGGATTACAGGCACCCACCACCATGCCCAGCTAATTTTTTGCATTTTTAGTAGAGCCAAGGTTTCACTGTGTTGGCCAGGCTGGTCTTGAACTCCTGACCTCATGATCTGCCTGCCTCGGCCTCCCAAAGTGCTGGGGTTACAAGCGCAAGCCACCACGCCCAGCCTGACTTTTAAAAATGAGATTACTGGCCGGGTGAGGTGGCTCACGCCTGTAACCCCACCACTTTGGGAGGCCGAGGCGGGCGGATCACCTGAGGTTGGGAGTTCAAGATCAGCTTGACCAACATGGAGAAACCCTGTCTCTACCAAAAATACAAAATTAGCTGGGTGTGGTGGCACATGCCTGTAATCCCAGCTACTCAGGAGGCTGAGGCAGGAGAATCGCTTGAACCTGGGAGGTGGAGGTTGTGGTGAGCCGAGATCGCGCCATTGCACTCCAGCCTGGGTAACAAAAGCGAGACTCCGTCTCAAAAAATAAATAAATAAATAAATAAATAAATAAATAAATAAATAAATAATAAAGCACACTACATGGTAATTTTAAATGTATGGGTCTTATTCCCCAACTATACTCTAAATCTCTGTTCATCTTTGAAACTCCAGTGCCTGGAAAAGTGCCTATACTATACAGGGCACTCCATAAATATTGTGGAATAAATACAGAGATGACAATTTGGGACTCCCTAGTCTAGGTCCTTCTTGGACACAGATTTGTGTCATATCTTCAAAACTGCAATTCAGGGAACTTTTGAAGAGTGTTCTGACAGAGGCAAATATGAAAGAAGATAGATTCCCCCAGTTGAAGCACCATGCCTCCCATGCCATTATAGATAACCTAAACAAAACTGGGAAGCTAGAGCTTCTAGATGTGTAGTCATGATTTTTCTTCTTAGCAAACTATTGTTCGCTGTTACTAGTGTGGTACCCGATGTGCAAAAAAGAAGAGAGACAATTGCTTGTCATTACTGTAGGTGAAGAGCCTGAATGTTAAGAACACTATTTCCAAAAGGAGATGATTTTGAATCACCCAAATGGGGAAATAAATTATAGCATTTGCAAAAGGGCAAAGAAAACATATAGGAATGAGGCTGGGCACAGTGGCTCACGCCTGTAATCCCAGCCCTTTGGGAGGCTGCGGCAGGTGGATCCCTTGAACCCAGGAGTTCAAGACCAGTCTGGACAACATGGTAAAACCCCATCTCTACAAAAAAATACAAAAATTAGCTGGGCAGGGTGGTGCGTGCCTGTAGTCCTGGCTACTCAGGAGGCTGACGCAGGAAGATCTCTCGAGTCCAGGAAGTTGAGGCTGCGGTGAGTCGTGATTGTGCCACTGCACTCCAGTCACTCCAGCCTGGGTGACAGAGCAAGACCCTGTCCCAAAAGTAAAATAAAATACACAAAATAAAAGAAAAAAAAAGAAAAGAAAGATATTATGGGGATAAAAAAGTCTTAACAAATGATTCATAAACTAAGAAGTTATACTTAATCAAAATAGGCTGTGACATAGCAGCCTTAGCTCCAGGAGAATATCAAGCCAATTCAAATTTTGTTTGTTTGATATAATCCATAGGTTAAAAAGAAAGGAAAACAAACAAATTTTGTTTGTTCCACTAAGGTGTTCGGGATTTTGTGTCAAATTTATGGATTTTTTTTTTTTTTTTTTGAGACGGAGTCTTGCTCTGTTGCCCAGGCTGGAGTGCAGTGCCGTGATCGCGGCTCACTGCAATCGCCACCTCCCGGGTTCAAGTGATTCTCCTGGCTTAGCCTCCTGAGTAGCTAGTAGTAGATTACAGGCGCACGCCACCACGCCCGGCTAATTTTTGTATTTTTAGTAGAGATGGGGTTTCACCATGTTAGTCAGGCTGGTCTTGAACTACCTGACCTCATGATCTGCCCGCCTCAGCCTCCCAAAGTGCTGGGATTACAGGCATGAGCCACGACCACGCCTGGCCAAATTTATGGCTCTTAACCTTTCTTGTAGGTCACTAACACTTTGATAATTTAATAAAAACGTTCCCCCCCCAAAAAAAGGCACATATACACACATACAAAAATTTTTGTGTAAGTCTAGGAAATTCATAACCCCTTCTCTGGTGTACATGGGTATTAATAATAATAATAATAATAATAACAACAACAACAACTAAGATTTACTGAGTCCTTGCTATGTGGCAGACATTCTTCTAAGTCATCACATTTTTCCCTTTGCTTGAATTCCATATCTAGTAAATAATTTCAGATCAAAATTTGGATTCCTATTGAGGTCTACTTACAGGGAGAGAATGTGCTGGTCACATGAATCTCGAATGTAGTTACATTTTCATTATCAATAAACTGGCCCCCTGGTTCTTCATTCAGTCTCATGAGCTTGATTAATATGTGTCTGCTCCCAAGAAACAGATTGGTTCTTAGTAGGCTGACCAAATCAAACCTCTGCCTGCAAGGCTCAGGGCTCTGGACTATGGTCAATTCACTGGAAAAATGGATACATCCCTGCAAAACCTCTCAGGTGACAGCATACCAGCCATTCCCCAGGTAGAAGCAGTCCTGATATACTGTGTGTTGTATGAGCTCTGGAGTTAGACCTGGGTTCAAATTCTGGCTTTTTAGCCATATGACTTGAAGAAAATTGTTTAACCATTCTAAATCTCTGTTTCTTCTTTTGTTATTTTTTTTTTTAGACGGCATCTTTCTCTGCCGCCCAGGCTAGAGTTCAGTGCCAGGATCTCAGCTCACTGCAGCCTCAGCCTCCCGAGTTCAAGCGATTCTCCTGCCTCAGCCTCTGGAGTAGCTGGGACTACAGGCACCTGCCATCATGCCCAGCTAATTTTTGTGTTTTCAGAATAGAGATGGGGTTTTGCCATGTTAGTCAGGCTGGTCTTGAACTCCTGACCTCAGGTGATCTGCCTGCCTCAGCCTCCCAAAGTGCTGGGATTACAGGTGTGAGTCACCATGCCTGGCCTTATTTCTTCATTTTTAATGGGGGATAATAACTGTAATAGTTGTAAAATAAAATGAAATAATTCGGGTAAGGCATAAGTTCAGTGACTACAATTATTTACCTGCTTTCCTAATCCTGACTTAAACATTTATTACCTATATTACCTTGGGCTACCTTTATGAACCTCAGTTTCTTTCACTATAAAATGAGAATAAAAAGACTTTACCTCTTAGGGCATTGTGAGGATTCAAGATATATTGAATCTTTTTTTTTTTTTTTTGAGACAGAGTCCACTCTGTTACCCAGGCTAGAGTGCAGTGTCATGATCTCGGCTCATTGCAAACTCCACTACCCAGGCTGAAGTGATTCTCCTGCCTCAGCCTCCTGAGTAGCTGGGATTGCAGGTGTGTGCCACCACACTGAGCTAAATTTTTTGTATTTTTAGGATGTGAAGTTTCACCATGTTGGCCAGGATGGTCTCAAACTCCTGACCTTAAATGATCCGCCTGCCTTAGCCTCCCAAAGTGCTGGGATTACAGGTGTGAGCCACTGCACCCGGCCTGAATCTCGAATAGTATACATAAAAGCCTCCTATGTGCCAGGAACTGTACCTGTTCACTTACATACGTTTGTTCTATCCTTACGGCAATCTTGGCACATAAGAGATCCTCGATAAAGGATAATTATTGGCTGGGCACAGTGGCTCACACTTGTAATCCCAGCACATTGGGAGGCCAAGGTGGGCAGATCGCTTGTTTGATCCCTTGCAGGCCCACGAGTTTGAGACTAGGCTGGCAACAGGGTGAAACCCTGTCTCTACAAAAAATACAAAAAATGAGCTCGGTGTGGTGGCATGTGCCTGGTTCTGTGCTGTCTTGGAGGCTGAGGTGGGAGGATCGCTTGAGCCTGGGAGTCCAAGGCTGCAGTGAGCTAAGATCATGCCACTGCACTCCAGCCTGGGCAACAGAGACCCTGTCTCAAAAATTAAACTAAACTAAACTAAACTAAACTAAAATAATACATAGGATAACTATTATTTAACTAAACAATTCAGCTAAAACAGTCACTCTGTCAGTGAAAAGTAGACCAGGAAACTTTTCTTTAAGTTTCTTTGAACTTCCTGACTCTGACAGCAGTTATAACCAAGTCTTGAGGTGAAGTACAAGAAGGTGTAATAGCATTCCACATTCTTTTAGAGGGCTTTAATTTTCTTCTATTTCTGACCAAGCAAAAACAGCTTCAGAAAACCACCCACAACCCTCCTTGAGCCTATTGTCTTATTTCCTCTTCTTTTATATTTTCTTCTCTTCTTCTCTCTTCCTTTTGTCAGGGAACTGGGGAGTATGGCGAGGAGGAGGAAGAGATGGAGGTGGATATTAGTAATAAAGAGGGGATGAGAATATTTCATTTCTCCCCCTCTGGTTGAACAGGATATGGCATATTACCTTGTTGAGGGTAAGACCCAAAACAGCCTGACCTGGCAATGTCAAATTAGGATGCTGGAGTCATGAAACATATAGAGTTATGGTATAGGATGGGGAGGATGGTACAGTGAGGTTCAAGTAGCATTAACTTTGATGTCAAAGATACCTGGGTTCGAATCCTGTCTCCCACATTCTTAAATTCTGGGATTGGGCAAGCACTAAGTATTCTGAGCCTCTGTTTCCACCTTTATAAATTAGGAATAATCATCATG